TTAAAAAAAGAAAGCATTGATTTAAAATAACGTCAGGAGGATATGAGTTAATATTCTGTTGTATCTCACACACACCACCCAGAGGTCGTATGATTCCTGTGGTAGCACCAAATGATCCGCCCACAATACTTATTGTTGTAGAGTAGTTTTCACAGTGGAGGCTTGTATTTCAATAAGTCGTCCTAAATTAGGTTCGACGTACAAAACATTAGGAACTTGAAAATAAGAGTTAATGACGCAGCAATCTAGTTGTAATGGTTGATACTTCAATGTCCGATATCATCTGACTCGCTCAACACCACTGAGCCGAACTGGTACCTGCTATTACTACTTATTATCTGTGGGAGAGTCCATTACAATAGAATAGGTACTATAACACTTATGAATTCTGTAGATACGAATATGACCCCCAGTCTAATCCAATCAGTCTAATGAGCCATATATATATATATATATATATATATATATATATATATATATATATATATTTTTTTTTCATTTTTAACTACATTTAGGGATTTTTGTTTGTTTTTCAGGATTTCTTCGTTCTGTCGGATTTGTATCCATTTACACTTGCTTATATATATATATATATATATATATATATATATATATATATATATATATATATATAAATCAACTTATCCGAATCGTGATGAAAACTGCGTACAACAGAAGCAGGCTGGAAATAAGACAAGAACAATGTAGATTCGTGAAAGACACTGAAAGAAGGAATGCATTGTGTTATCAGAAAGAGCAATACAAATACAGAAGAACTTGCACCTATGTTTCATAGTTTACGAAAAAGCGTTCAGTAAAATACGATACAAAGATCTGTTGGAAGTGTTCAGGAACTTTGACATATATGGGGAAGGATATTAGAATTATAAAGAATCTATACTAGCAGGAAACCGTCTGCATACAAATACAAAATGAGTTCAGCAGATATACAAAAATAGAAAATGATGTCAGGCAAGGATGTAGCATCTTACCAGACTTATTCAACCTATACAACGAGGCGATTCTGAGAGAATTAGAAGTCCTGCCAGGATTCATTATTGGCGGCCACAATATTAACAAAATAAGATGTGCAGATGACACTGTGTTGATAGCAGACATGGAAAGAAAACCATAAGAACACCTACAGAAAGTAGTGACGAAAAACGAAAAGAAAGGATTAAACATCAGCTGCAAGAAGAATACATGCATAATTGTTAGTAAAAGGATGCACCTAAAATGCAAATTAAAAATCGGAATTAATAGAATCAAACAAGTACACAAATTTAAAAATCTGGGAATTACTTTAACACAATGTAAAGTGCATCACTGCAATCTGGAAACGCATTGCTATAGACAAATATGCATTCCACAAGCTAAGCGGTGTATTAAGAAATAGAACAAAACCTTAATTCTAAACAAAGAAAAGAGTACTAAACAGTTATGTGTCCTTTATGGCAGTGAATGCAAGACATTCCCAAAGATGAAGAGACTTGAAGCAACAAAAATGTGGTTCTATAAAGGACAAAATAGACCGAATATGTGAGTGACAACGAAGTTTTAGAGAAGATGGAAATGAAAGGAAACATATACGTAACACCAGGAATAGACATTTGAAATTTCTAGAGCATATAATGAAGAAAGGAGGCCCTGGAAAATGTGATATTCACAGGACAGATTTAAGACAAGAACGACAGAGGAAAACACTGCATAAGGTACTTGATGGGCTTAAGTAAATTGATGGCGGAACAGGGTTTAGCTATATAGACCAGGACATTGTGGTGAGCCATGATAGTTTACATCTTGAGGAGATACGGTACCTGAAGACAGATATCGATACCATGAGTTGTATTTATTCACTTATCTGTCCTGCATAACTGAAACAAAGTAAGCAACGTATTAAGAAACCGGAAATTTTCGTTAGAAACAAAGAGGGCTCAACTCTTACTTAATGTCAATCTCCCTAAATGACAGTGAATGATTGAGAATTTCCTCAGAAATGAAAAAGAGATCTGAGACAAAGGATATGTGGTTCTATAGAAGGAGGCTGAAAATACCATGGATGGAGCATGTAAGCAAGGAATAAGTTTAGCGAAATTAAAAAAAACAACAAAAAACGAGACTTCGGCTCGAAATCAGAAAGTGACAGTTGAAATTTATGTGTCGCATTATAAGGAAGGAGAATTTGGAAAATTTGATACTCACAGGGACATATTGAAGGAAGAAGTGGCACAGTGGAACAGCAAGCGACATACCAAACGAAATTTTACAAATGAATGTTGAGAATACCATAGACTAAACATGTGAGCAATGAGGAAGTCATAAGTAAAAGGAAAACAAAACGGACACTTATAATTCGAATCAGAAACGGACAGTTAAAATTTCTTGGGCACATAACAAGGAAAGAGGGCTTAGAAAACTTCACACTCACAGGACAGAAGGAAAGAGGAAAGCAGCGTGTAACTCCTGCCTAACGAGCTTGGTTGGCTAAAAATGGATATCTAGTAAAGATGTAAGTAAAAAGACAAACTTTACTAAGGGCTACAAAAGACAGGATGTTGTGGAGAGCCATGATTCGCCCATGACACATAGAAGAAGTGAGTTTGAACCTTACTGAATGCCCCATCCGACAATAAATAACATAACAAGTGTTGATATATCGTAAATTAATCCAAGCAACTTAAGATTATTTGATCATCGTATTTAACAGGACAGCATAAAGAGCAAATATCATACCGGTTAATTTTCCGAGAATATCACGAGAGGAAATTGTGGAGATCCATGATCGTCTCCCTCTCTAAAGAAGAATATTTTCCTTACATTTCTCATGTTTTAAAAAACAATGAGACTTTTTATGCATCAAATGAAATTTGTTTCAATAATGTTTTTATACTCTGTCACAGGTTACCTTTTAGCTTGATATTTATTATAGCCAAATGAAAAATTGGCTCTTAAAAGATGAACTGCACAAAACAAGCCTGATAATTGGCACTGGTTTGGCGAAGGAATTTCTGACGGTGCTTTACATCTGCTAGTTGAGAGTCGCGTGGTTCGAAAATCCTGCGCAAAGTTGCTCTTACATTAAGTACAAATAATAAACGGAAGGCAAGATAAGATAAAACTGCGAAGAAAACATACTCAGACGCATAGGTACATTATAGATAAGGATATAAGCATGAACACACACACAGTAGTGCACAGTAAATGCTGGGAGTAAAAATCATAGTGGTTGATGTAAGAATATATATATATATATATATGTGTGTGTGTGCGTGTGTGTGTGTGTGTGTGTGTGCTGTATTGCTCAGAATGATATGGGTCCCATAACAATCAGTTGTATCTTCCCAAAAATTGTCGTCACGCGAACTATGACATTACATTTGACGGTAGTGCATTTAATGCTGATCTCTTAAAATGCAACATCTGAGACAGTCATAACTTTGCTGTACTGGTCATGTTGCAAGTAGGAGTAACGACAGAATAACTATGGTCATCATATATACCTAGCTGACAAAGGGCGGTTAAACGTCCGTGGCTCATGTATAAAGACAAGCTAAAGAGTAATTCTCTGCATTTCGCTTCATATAATCAAATTTGAATCATCTTTATTCAGTTACCAGATTTTGTACAACTGTGGTCACCACTCTCCCTATTTCTAATAAAAATCGTAAGTACGAATGTAAGTCGACCTACACCTGGAAAGTTAAATAAATTCTGCGGAAAAAAAAGATGTGAAAATTAGCATAACTAAAGACTGCGACGCTTTGAATAAAATGGATGTAATCTGGAAATCTGATCTACAAGTCAACCTCAAATGGAGATACTTTCATGGCCCTCTTGAGGCGGTTTTAATGTATGGCACTACTTCTTGGGCATAAAATCCTTGAGTTTAAGCTGGATTGAACCGACACTTGGATGTTGGGAGCTATACTTAAGATCTCTTGGAGAAAATATTCAACTAAATCATAGCTTTGTGGATCAATACCTGATATTACTACAATCTTTACGCGAACATGATCACGGGAGTGATCTACTGTTCTGAACCCCTAACCATGGAGTAAGACGAGTTAGTTATCGAACAACGACCTATATTTACCAACTATATTATGATGCGTCCCTAATGTCCTGGCGAATTTGATGCAGTGATGGACTCCTGGATGTCCGAGCAAAACTCGACCGAATAAAAAAAACATATAAGGAGTAAGAGGGTAAAAATTTAAAAAAAAAAATCACAGTTGACAAAGTTTTCGATTTCGTGGAAGCAGATTCTAAGGAAACACGAAACTTTAAAGTTACAGTGAAGCTTTATTCAAAGCAATTAATCCACTGCACATATGGGAGCTTCGTTCAACACCTTTTATAGTTGAATAGTTTGAGAAGCCTCCTCTTTCTTTCTTTTCTTTTTTCTGACTTAAACCAAACAGCGTTTCTGATATGTTTTTCCCATTTTTTCCTCGAGATCAAAACGGAATAGTCCATTATTTATGATGCATTAGCAGATGAAACGTACGTGCTAAGGTACGAAGGAACAAGCAAATTATAACATGATATATATATATATATATATATATATATATATATATATATATATATATATATATATATATATATATATATATATATACACTATATACCTATGTAGTTCTTATATGAAAACCATCCTACGATTTCCCTAATATCTGACATAACCAAATAACTTAGTCTAAATATTTATTATATGCACATATATTTTAAACTGAAAACCACATGGAATATTTATCAGTTAAATATAAATATATCATGAAATTTTATCAACATCTGTTGGTTAGTGCTAATTTTATTGTAAAACACTGACTTGCGCAATAAATTCTCACATTCCTCTTCCTCTCTCTCTCTCTATCTATCTCTCTCTTTATATATATATATATATATATATATATATATATATATATAGAGAGAGAGAGAGAGAGGAGAGATTCCTACGTAAAGAAGCATTGTGGCCTAAGTCTGCTATTTGTAGCTCGATGTATGCGCATGTCTGCCTGGCAACTTCCGTTGTCTATGAAGTTAGTATTCTCACTTTCCTTCTCAGTGTCTCTTATCGTATAGCGTTTAATTTCTTTCTGCAGGTAAACATTTTGTGGCTGGTTTAGAACAAGTTACAAAAATTGAAATATAAATCCAAGAACATTTTCTTTTTTTAATAGTGCTTCCGCTTCCTTGAGTCTATTGTGGAGTTTAAATCAAACTTTCTTTTTCTTTCTTTCTTTCTTTCTTTCTTTCTTTCTTTCTTTCTTTCTTTCGTTTATTATCTAATATTTCATTATATTTTCAAAATATCATTGTTTTTCACAGTCGTTTTATTCATTCTTTCTTTTTTCTTCTTTCATTCATTTTTATTTATTTATTTGATATTTCACTATAATTCCAAAATATCTTTCTTGTTTCTCATTCTTTCTTTCTTTGAAATTACGTTTATATTTCTTAAATATTATTTCTTAATTTCTTCCACACTTTTTCATTTGAATTTTGAATGAATTCTTCATTTTATTCGTAGTCTTTGTTTCATATATAGTTTTCTCTTTCTTCTTCGGACTTTATTTTCCCTCGGATATTTTTAAATTGACATTTCTTTTGAGATAATTTTCCAAGCGTCGTTACGATTTCTTCTTTTTCTTCATTCTTTCCTTCTCTATTTTATTTTACCCTTTTTTCCTCTGATTTCTTTCCTACTTGTGAGATAAAGAGCTTCACTATCGTTTATTCTTCAGCCGATTATTCTTATACTGACTTATTCTTAGACATGAATTTTGATCTTTTTCTTTCTTTTTATATTTCTTTCTTTTTGTATTCCTTTCTCTTTCTTTCTTTCTGTCTTTTTCTTTATATCTTTTTAATATTCCCTTCTTTCTTTCTCGCTTTCTATTTCTTTCCTTCTATTTTTCTTACTTTTTTTCCTTTCTTTCTTTCTTTCTTTCTTTCTTTCTTTCTTCTTTTCCTTTCTTGCTTTTGTTTGTTTGTTTCTATTTTTGTTTCCTCCTTTCTTTTTATGTTTCTTTAATTTTTATCTCATTTTCTTTATTTTTATAACTTGCTTTCTCATTATTTGTGTTTTTTTTAACTTGATTTTTTCTTTCGTTTCTGTCTCTTTGTTCTTATCTTTCTTATTTAGTCTCTCCATCCTTAGTCTCTCTCTTTTTTTGTCTATTTGAACGTTTTTCATCCTATTTTTATGCCTTTAATATTTCTTTTTTAACTTCCTTGTTTACGAGTCTTTTTATTTCAAAATATTTTTTAGGAATGTTTTCTTCCTTTCAGTTTGTAAAATTTTCTTTCTTTATTTTTTATTTTATTTATTTTTTTAAAATTTAAAATCTTTCTTTTTTTAAGTAACTCTCTTTCCTTTTTTAACGCATAATAAATTTATTATTATTTGGAATCACATACGAGAAATCGGTTGGAAAGCCTGGCTCCATAACTTTAGTAAGAAAATTCATTCATTTCATCAGTCATTTTACTTTTTTTCTTTTATTTCTATTCTTTACTTTTTTATTTTTTTTTTTTTTTTTTTTTTTGTTCGTTTTAGTTTCAACCGCTCGACTCTTTACGTCAGCGTTCGGGGGTAAATTTCTATTCACTTGTGAATAGCTTTCTTTGTTTCTGGCAGCCATTTTATTTTCATTTAGAAAAGAATAGTTTCGTTTCTTTTTTTTTCTGTCTTCGTTTTTTTTAAGATAAAAGAAATGTTCCAGTCTGCATTTCTGAACTGTCGGTTGCCAACCGCAATTCAACTTTTAAAAAAATGATTTGAATCCATTTTATTTGAATTTAATTCATTTTTAGAAATATATTATTGTAAGTAAATCTTTTCTCTCTGTTAAAGCTAACAATAAAAATAATAAATTCGAATGAATACGCCGGAAAAACCTTAAGGAAAGACAAAATAGATTGGAATGGTAAATTGAGTCACAGCAGGAAGATGATAGAATTGCCTTGACGACGTCGGCAAAAGGTAAAAATCGAAACGGAAACAGGACAAAAAATGATGAAAAGATACATATTTTTTCGAATGGATAACGGGAATTTGTGTTGAGGTGCGGAAAATTTCAGCTGACAGACAGACAGACAGACAGAATTCCAGAACATCCATCACAACGAAGTAATGATAAAAAATGTTTCTCTGTAGCTACACACCAACAAACGTATAGAAAAATAAATGGAAATGAAAAAGACATTTTCTTTTCATTCTTACACAAACGTTCGGAGTTATTGAATTGATAAAAGCACAAAGACTGTAACCGGTTGCTAAAGATTTCAACAGCATAAGACATGCAAATGAAACCATATTGTTAGCAGTCGGAGAAAGAAAGCGACAGGAACTCGGAGACAATGTTATTAAGTAAAACAAGAATAAAAGCTCACCATCAATCAGAAGATATAATAAATCGCTTAGATATGGTACAAGGCCGGAAATATGGAGCACCAAGTGAGGATTAAACTCAAGGCCGGTGCAAGCGTTTCGTGGGTCCCCACCGTTTCGATGATACGGGGCCCTGCGAATCTATCATATGACACCTCAAATATCTATGATACTCCAGAATCTATGATACGCCCCCCACCAGTCTATGATATGAGGTGCCCACTCTACTACGTCTCAATTTTCATAATGTAGTATTCATAAAAAATAGAAATTTTATTGTAAAATAGTTATGTACAATAATGGACCTTATGCAATACAAGTGAACAATTCAGTTAGAAGAACTGAAAATAAATACATTGTATCTAAATACATATTAGAGTCATGTCATAATAGATAAATAAACCAGCAATGTTTTGCGGCACTTTTTAACATCAACATCAGAGATTCTCATGATTGCCTCGGTGTAAATATTGCATAAATCTGGTGCTAAGACGCTTCCTTGTCTTACGCCTCTTTCTATTTTCTTCCATTTACTGAATTCATATTCTGACCATAGCTGAATGTTTAGAATCTTCACTTTCCGATCATAAAAGCCTCAAAAATGAAACTGCTGTCTTTTACTCTTTTCAGGGAATCCTTTTTACCTTCGATCAATATGGCTGACGCTAATCTCCTGGAGAGTGACTCATTGCAATTTATTAGATTAACGCTTTCAGATGGAATAAAGTGGAATCATCTGCTAAGTTTGTAGCAGAGAAAGTTTATTCACTACGCCGTGCTAAACAATTTTTCTCGTCAGATTTTATCTTACATATTTATAAGTCTACCATTCGTCCTTGCTTTGAATAATGCTGCCACATCTAGTCTCCTCCTCCTGCTATATATTTAGATATTCTTGATAACATACAAAAATTAACCTGCAATATTATTGGTCGTGACCTGGCATCTCGGCTTCAGACCCTTTCCCACTGCCGTAATGTAGCTGCTCTTTGTTATTTCTATAAATGCTTTCATGGCAATTGTTCTGATGAATTTTCTTCTTACGTACCTAGATTTTATGAATTCAAGAGCAGTACTAGATTGGCGGCAAGGTCTTATCGTTTTACAGTTGAAAACCGTAAGTTCTATGCTAACAGGTTCTTCTATTGCATTTCACGTTTGTGGAAATCTCTTCCGGCCAACTTTGATCTCAAAAAATTTAAATGCAATGTCAATCATTATCTTATCTCATACTGTTCGGTTATTGTCCTTTCTCCTTAAGAGTATTTTACTCATATTCTCTAAAACTCAGGAGCCTCTTGCGTCAGAGTGGCTTTATTGCCTTGCTTGGGGTGAAATTATTTTAAAAAAATCTCATCATGATCGTTTTCTTCTGATGTTACAAGTCTTTAGAGGCGATTCCACTTTCAAACTCCGGAATGCCAAATTCAAGAGAGTAATTTTGGATACTCGGCGTTTTTATGGAAGTCGCCTTCATCTGTTTCAACTTTGTTGCCTTAACCTAACACTAATTAATCCGTTTAACTTTTTATTTCAGAAATAAACAAAAGCATAATATTAAACTATGTTTTTTTGAGGACTTAATAATAAACACCGTAGTTATCTTAGCATTTATGGCCCACAGATTGCCATTGCTTGAAGTACAAATACAAACAGAATTCAATTTTTTAGTGTCTTGATTTTTCGGTGACAAGAAAAATGTCAAAGGAAAAAGAAAATATATTATTTAAATGGTAGTATCTTGGGTTTGTTGATTTGAAATTTTCAACTTAATGTTTGGTTGAAAAGAATAACTGTTAAAAATAGATAACAATTAGAATTAGCTAACCTGATGGACACAAAATCTGCCTTTAGTTTAATATCAATAGTTACATTTGTAAATTGTTTATCATTTGATTTGTTTAACAGTATATCAACTCAGTCATTTAATGACGAAATTTAATTTTCTTGGGAGCTTTGAAGTAAAAAGAAAAACATGTTATTTTGCTTTCACAGTTGTATATATGGTAGATGATGCACAGCTTTTGTGCATATAAATGTTTGTGTAGACATGGTTACTAAAGGCGTTGATATGTTACGGTTTTGTTATATTTTAAAATACAGTTTGATTTAAGAAATTGTAAGATATGATATAAATTAAAGTAATGAAAGTTCTTTCATGTTGATTGATGTATTGTTGGTAATTTTATTATAAAAATGTATCTTTATACTTTCATAGTGTTTTGTTTTTGTCTGGGGATTCACTATTTGCCCATAGCTGGGACCCTAACAGGTGCTACCACAGCGTGTCATGGTGGACCTGAGAGCCACAGTGATTAAGAGTTGATTTCACACTCCTCAAATCTCTAATTCCCCGATCAGAGACCTTGCTGCCGGATGTAGTTAATCTTCATACCATGGACTACATTGGAAATTGAAACCGTAGCTCTAAAAAATTAAAATATTTCCATATTTTTAGTTGATTTACAAAATTAGACAAAATAATAAAACTTTGGATTAGCTAAAAATCGACACAATATAAAGTTCAGCATTAGCATTAAATTCTTCTATGAGTCATATCTCCTTCAGAAAGTGGGCGATCATAGCTCTCTACAATTTACTATTCTTTCTAGGGTTTAGTAATTGTTGCCTTTTTACTATGCCTCCCAGTACTCATTCAGTGATCGATTCACTTAATCTCGCCGGTTAGGGGTGGGGGATCGATTTATCCCACTGTCTCTATAGACTTCGATCGTTCTTATGAGTGTCAGATTTTCCAAAACTTTCTTTCACGTTATGGTCGCTAGATATTTCAGCTTCTCTTTTTGATTTGGATATTCGGAGAAATATTTCAAAATTTTCAGCCAGTAATCGATAAACATAAAATTGCCCACTGTGTCTGCATGGTAGAATGCTAACGCCAAGGTCGATGCAAGGGTCTCGTGGAAAATCTCGGTTATATGATACACTCATATCTGCTATGTGTCCACCATTCTGCTATATCTCAATTTTCATAAGGTTGTATTCACATAAAATACAAATTTTATTGTAACCTAATTATGTAGATTAATGGATCATATGCAATATAAGTGAACAATTCGACTAGAAAGATTGAAAATAAATCCAATGTATTTAAATACAGATTTGAGACATGTCATAATAGATCATTCCATCTTAAATAAATTAACACTATTTTGTGACAGCTTTTAACATCAGCTTCATAATGTTCTTGTTAAAAAGTTGAATAATTTAATACACTGAAAATTATGAATACAAAATAGTAAATTTTATATAATGCTTATGCAAGACTTAGCATGAGCAGTTTACGGATTTGGACAAAAAAAAAGAATAATCCAGAATGACGTCAAAATCCGCAAAAATGTTTCATCTTTTAATACTTGTGCTCAGTTAAATTTTTAACGTATATAAATGTAGGCAGAAAAGAAGCAAATGTCGATAAGATAGTGAGGGTCAGAAAGTACTGGCCAGGGCCCCCAATTTCTCTTGCCCCTTCGATACACCAAAGTTTATTATGGTGAAAGAGTTTAGTGCAAGCCAATATAGTGCCATGACTTACATTATAAATTGAAAATTTACGAAATTAATCAAAACAATAAAAATCTGGATTAGCTACCGAGTGGACACAATGTAAGGGTCTTCTTTAACATTATATTTACATTACAAATTGAACACTTTCTAAAACGTTTTCAGATTTTCAGCTTGTTGTCTATTTTATACAGCTACACAAAAAGATAAGGATTTGGTTTAGCAAAATTGACGGACACAAAGTGAGTGTCCGTTTTACCTTTATAAATCTTCTATTCTATAATTCTCAAAATGTGTGTGTATGTACGCGTGTGTGCGTGTGTGATCGAATGTTGTTTATGCGTTTCCACAGTTTTCATCCAATTTCGATGAATTTGTTTTTGTTTGATAGATAATTCTACATTGACGATTTTGAGTCGAAATTGGCTGGAAAAATTACAACCTTGAAGGTGAAAAATCGAAAAATTGATGTTTTACACTTTGCGCAAAAATCAAAGGCAAAATTTTGTCTGTAAAACATCAGCGTACAATCAATTTATAGAGTTGAAATCTAACGTAAAAGTTTATTATAGTTATAAAAAACATTATATTATAAATAAAAAATATATCGTATATTATAATTATGACGGTCCATGGAAGAGGTACCTTCCTTGCAAGATTGAGAAAGCAAAAACGGTTTTTTCAGCCCCCCCCCATTCAAATT